ACTTGGTAGCGCCAATAGGACGCTGAGAGCAAAAGAGCAGCTGAGCTATTTTAAGGTCTCTTCTTCCAGCAGTTTGGTGCACATCTTAAAGAAAAATAAGAATAAAAAAAAAAAAAACCACACACCAAACTGCTCTGTTTTCATTGCATTATGCAGATGAAATGACAAGTTGTCATTTAAGAAGTTAATAAACAGTCACCATTTTGCAGGTTATCCAAATGCTACTGAATAGAAAACCTTGGATCCCTAAATGATGTGTAATTAAAATTATTTAAAAAATCCTCCTTGACAGGCCAGGGCTTAGCCAAAATGTAAATGACATTAAAGAAGACAATGAATTTAATTTTATTTAATGTCCCTTTTTGCAGATCCTCATTTACATAGCATTTTTAACAAAAGCGTTGACCTTATAAATGCTGGCATTTGTACAGCTTCTGCAGAGTTGGATTTAATCATGCTTTCGCAAAGCCATAAGGGAAAAAGCTTTAAGTTCTCTGGTTGGATATGGAGTAGGAATAAAAACATTGGGACTGGTCAAATGTTTATCCTCCTTGCTTCTGAAAACAACCTGACAAGAAGATGTAAAGGTCTAGGGAATAACCCATTGCTGTTTGTAAGGCTTGGTAATAATCATACATAATCGTTTGGAAATATAGCTAATAAAAAATATAATGAGTGTTCAGCAAAATCGGCATTAGGCCCAAATTACATGATATTAATACTTGAACAGGTGCAGAAAGGCGCTTTAAATGAGGTAAATGAATAAAATGTCCCAGAGCACAACTGTGTGCACTGACAAAAAGTCAATCACATGAATAATTCAGCGGCCGGGACTGCCAGCAAAGGTCAGCGGCTCTCACCTTTGTGACGGGAAGTGAAAGGAAACGCTGCTGACGAAAAAAAACCCCCCTCGCCCTCCAGCCGCCGCCGCCACCCCCGCCGAAGGTGTAAACTTGGAGTAGGGAGGAATTAAAGCGCTGCACCGGCGAGCCGGCAGGAAAAATAAATAAATAAATAAATAAATAGATAAATAACTAAATAAATAAATAAATAAAATTATACAAAAAAACAACAAAAAACAACAGCTTGAACAGCCAAGTCGTTTAGGGAAAATAATCTGAAATTACAGCCAGGGAAAGGTTAAGGGGGGTGGCTACCAGCAATGTCAATTATCTCCCAAATCTGAGGTCAGGCAAAAGGTATTTTAAGAGCCTACGGGATTGAAATTTTGTAACAGCTGTTAAATATGACAAAACTTTTTATTCCCCCAAACTAGAGCTATTCCAAACTCCGTATGAAAGAAATGGGATAAGCAGATGTCTGGCTTCCATACAGGAAAGTAGGACACACTTGGAATGATAAGTCTCCTGAACCCTATAGAATAATGCCAGGTTTACTGGGGAGGGGGGCATTTACTGCCCACGGAGATGCCAGCGAGCAGTAGGGCTGTGATGGTGCCATCTGGAAAGGCTCTGCCCAGCAGGCTCTGCCCGCGCTCCACCAGCGCTCCCGGCCCGGCCGCCGCCGGCACCCAGCGCCCCCGGCCGCACCTCGGGGACACCCCCTTGGAGAAGCCAAGGGTCTGGCTCCCGGCAGGAATTTCCATCCCTCCCCAGTGAAGTATCTGCTGGTGGCACGGAGGAATGGTTCTAGCCCAGAGTGTGGTTTTGGTTTAGCAGTTCCAGCGGCATCCTGTAATCATTTACAGCCCTTGGAATGTATGGGTGAAATAGGAGAGATTTATCTGTTCATAGTTGTGATATGTAGACAATGGGTGTTCCTAATGAGGAACATCTGCTTTTGTGTTTTCCCAGAAAACATTATTCCACTATGAAAATGATACTCCCATCCTTTTCAGCAACACCGCAAAGAAAATATGGGCCTTTTCCTTTCTTTTATTTGCTTTTCTTTGGGTCAATCTAATTTCCCAGGGACACTTTTTCTGTGGCATCTTTTTACTGACTGCGCTGCAATTTACGGTGGGTTTGTTCTTTAACACGTGAGGTACTGTGCTGCAGGAACGGCCCCGAAATGCCAGCAGATACTCAAATGTGTACAGTAATAAAAGCCTCCCTGCTCGGCCGTGCTCCGTGAGAAACATCCAGGCGACGTAAATAAAAATTCCCACTGAATTAAAAGGTCGCCGAGGCTCCTGACACCAAAAACCGCTTCCAAGGCCTCGGCTTTGGCTTTTACATTTCCAGCCCACTGCAGGATTCAAACATAGAGTTACACAAGTTTGTTTAAATTATCAGCACTGCTAATAAATTATTACTCCTGAAGTGCATAAGGGTTTTTTTTTTTTTTTCTTCTGTTTTTTGGGGTTTTTAATCCCAGTGCATAAACAATTCCGACTGTCACGGAGTCTCCTAGTGTGGGCTGGAAGAAATGGGTGGCCATAGATCTCAATTCAGGATTGAATTATTGGTTCATATCCTGAGGACAAATATGCCTTATCTGGTCAAAAGCTGCTAAATGTATCCAAAGGACAAAAGGATCT